CGCGTCCAGTGTAAAAGTAAAAGTGTTTGGGTGTATTGTGGCGATTTAGTGTTTTTATTTTTTTTAGTAATAGACACTTATTAAAATATTAATATTCCTAATTTGTGTATAAGTAAAATTACACTGAATACAAATAATGTTGAATATGGATAATGTAGGAGGTGGCAACACTGTAAGGTTGAGATATACCGAAAAGAAATTTCAGGTGAATAAACACTAAACTAAAGTGGCACTAAATTTTTTTTAATTTTCCGAAAAATATAAAAATTTCAACAATTTTTTTTTGCAAAAAAACTCATAGACGTGTTTCTGGGGTTAACATATAATACCAGTTAAAATACTTGCACTTATTTCTGAGATACCCTGTATAATATTAGCTAGATACATAGCAAGAAAAGTAGGTAAACTTAAGCCCGCCATTGATTAGCGGACCGGCCCATCCTGATTCGTCCGCCAACCGATCTGTTAATGAATGGTAACAAGCAGGGGCAGATACAGGAATTCATTTTAGGGGAGGAAGGGGCCGAATAAAAAGTAATGTAGAATATGTCTTTTAGGGCGCTATTTTTAACCCAAAAGCCTAATATTTAACTCAATTTATAGATTTTAGGGGGGGGGTCTTGGCCCCATGCCCCCCTCTGTATCCACCACTGGTAACAAGCATGGAAAGAGCGACAGCGCACACACTGGTTGTGTCTGGGTCGTGATTGCGCCAGTCTGGCTACCTAACCTACGACACGACCGCGACTTGTCGTGTAATAGCGGGGTTGGAAAAAATCATGATTTAAAAAAAAATCAGATTTTTTTGATTTAATCAGATTTTTGAGATTTTAATAGAAAACATTATTTAAATCGGATTTCCAAATAATTAGGACTTAATTCCAATTAAAGTCCTATCCTAAATGGCTAAATCTTCATAGCTCTGCCCAATACTGACAACATTAACAATTCTACGTCGCGTGTCATTTTCCCTCATCGGTCAACAATATATTCCGCAAAAAAAGTGGCTCGCATCAGATCAAAAGGATTTTTTTTGAAATGCCACAAGAGTATTAATTTTTGTCATTTCAACGTCTAGGCTTAAAAGTAAAGCACTTTTAGGCCTAAGCACAAAAGTACAAAAATATATTATTAAACTGATATTAAGCGTCAATTTCAACGAGTGTACAAATTGTTACTCGATTACTTACAAGGCATTACTTTTTATATTATTTGCGACGTTTGAAATTGATCAAAAAATTATTTGTAATGTTTAATTTGTAAAAATAGAGTATATTCTACTCAGAGTAAAAATGTACTTTTGTGCCTCCCTGTTTACGCTGGTTCGTCAAACGTACAACCTCGTCAAAAAAAGTATAATTTTTACTCCTTACACAATACACTATTGTTCGGAAATAGTCTAAAGTCGAGAATGAAATTAGTATTATCTATTGTCAAAGTGAAAAATAAAGAGATATAAAACAGCATATTTTCTGACAACGGTTTGAAGATATAGTCTAACATCAAAAGAACCGTTTTCTGCACTAGAGGTTGCGAATGAAATGTATTCGAAGAGCATTTTTTTTGTCACTTGTACATATATTTCAAAATAAATCTCTGCCCTTTAGAAGTTAGAAGTCTAATGGATTCACACGAAATTACTTCAAAAAAACATTTTAATTGATGAATAGATATGTAGTAGGTATATGTGTTATACAAATCATTTTTTATATAGTTTTATAACATTTACAATTTTTTTTTCGATTTATTAAACGTATTTAAACGTTACAATAGCAAGTGTAACATTTTATTTAACGAATAGATATAGGGTATATGTTATAGAAATATTTTTTATAGTTTTCTAGGACACATTTTTATAACTTTTACAGTTATTTTTCGATTTATTGTAAAGTTTTAAAAAAGTTGATTTTTTTATTTAAATCACCTGATTAAAATTAAAAAAATCATTTGATTTAAATCATGCCAACCCTGTAATAGGTTGGAGACAGTTGGCACGGTTCGTGTAATGTGTGCGCGGCCTCGATCATATATACGTACGTGGATAAGTAAATCACTGTGGAAACTGTCACAAACATATCAACGACTTCCATTTATCTTCTTTTTTGTTGCACACGCGGTGCTTCTACTCTATATATCCTTGGCGAGTGTATATATTTGAACAATAAATTGAACGTTTACTGCCACAAAAATTAAATTATATAAAAATTAAATTATATAAAAATTAAATTTAGCCACTCCGTACGAATATCAATATTCTTAGGAAATCTAACCAGAAAGTATGCGTGTGGTTTAATATAAATAAAAGAACAACTTAATACTTTACTTGCCTATGAAAAGATCATTTGGGGACCTTTAAATTAGAACTTCCACACACCAAACACTTTCTAGTCATTTTTAAGAGTATTTAGAAAGTTCAACGAAAAAAAATACAAATATAATTGCACAAACTTAAAATTAACTTCTCACTGAACACACTTGGCATCTTTGGCTATATAAAAGCGGTCGATAAAAGAGAATACAATTTTTAATATAAAAAACGCAAAAAAACAAGTGGCGTTACACAATAGAAATAAGATTATGACCAAATTATGACAATATGATGATAATGAAAAGTTGGTTTCCATGTATAATTTGTACTTTCTAAACCGTATAAAATTGTGATTAGTATGGAAATAGGTGCAACTTTTAATGCGCATGGCGCAAAGTAAGGTCCTCGGAAAAGACAAATCTATTGAACGTTTCATAAGTGCAATAAAGAAGGTTTGAAAATGGCATGTCGTGATGGTGGAAACATATTTTTTAATGCTAAACTTATGGCGTTGATTTATCCACGTAAGTATATATGATCCAGGGTGCGCGGGTACGGATAGGGCACATATCAGGATAGTGAATGGCGGGCTTTATAGTTTGTATATTTGTGCAAACAAGTGAGTGATTTTAGTTTCAGTAATTGAGTTAGTGATTTTTATGAAACTATACATTCCCCGATAGAGCAAATAAAGATAATATATTTTGTTATATAATACATTTTTAAGAACATTGGTGAACAGTTTTCCTTGAAATTTGGTATTCTTACGCACATTTGCAAATGGATATAGTGTAAAAATCCGAGTTCTGAAACGGTACTTTCCATTAGGATATTGGGTAGTACTGGTGATACTTTTTTGTCCCAATGGATACAGAAATTTCAACAAATGGCATAAAAAGCTAGGACTTTTTTACGTAAGAGAGGTGCTCTTCGTTTAGTTGGAAACGATGAACGGTATTCAAGATATTTGCGTTTAAAGGTTATGATACGTCGATATTAGAATTAGCGATTAAAACAATTAACGATGTAGTTACCTACCAGATATGATCTAAAAAATTGCAAGATATGTTACAAGTTTCAAAATGAGGGAAGTAAAGACTTTCTACAGGGTGTCCCTATTGGGAATATTTTCCATGGACATAGAACTACTATGCATATTTAGAATTAAAATAAGTTTATTGGACATAATTTACCTCCATACAAAAGAGCTTCGTTCGTCCTTTAGAGAGCATCAACCTTTAAAAAAATCCCTTCCTGTAGTTTTTCTTGACTTTTGCGAAAGTCAATTGTTAAAGTACTTAATAAAACATAGGCACCCCAAATTTCATTCAAATCGAAATAGCGATTCTTAAAATATCTTAAAAAAATGTGTTTAAATTTTTAAAGTTTGATGCCCTCTAACGGACAAACGAAGTACTTTTGTATAGAGGTAAGTACGACTTCGAAAAATACGTAGCAGTTCTATTTCCACGGAATATTGGGACACCCTGTATAAAGGCTGTAAATAAAATATTATACCAAACTTCAGTGTGTGATACTACAGATAAAAATAAAAGGCAAAGTTCCTAAGAACATATGCCCTAAAATGTCTCCTCAAGAAGTTACAACCCTTGATATTATTTACAGCCCTTACAAAACATGTTACTTACTTGAAACATGTTATTTTAGATTCAAGTTTCTACTAACTACCTGTCAAATATTTCCTTACATCTCATGATTTCGCTAATACTCAAATACCTTTCACCGTTTCGAACTAAGCGAAGAGCACCTTTCTTACATAAAAAGTCCTACGGTTCATATCAAATAAAAAAAAGTGGAATTAAATTTCACGCTGGGGATTCAGGTGGCAGCTCTGCTGTAAAAAATGTCAAGTTGCCGCATTTAATTATTTATTTCCTGAAATTGTCATTCGTTGTGACATTTTAGTTTTTTTATTATCAGTTTTTAGTTTAAATAAATAGCGTTTTGCTTAAAAATGTTTACTAGCAGACATTGCAGTCGAACATTGTTCTTTTTAGAACCTCTTACCTCTTTTAGTGCGCAGTGTACAGGATATCTTAATAGCCATAAAAAAGTCATCGCAACTTTATTAGAATATTTTGAACGGCCCTTTATGTCCCTTAAGTGCTCTTAAGAAGGTGAGTTTTGTTAAGGTAAATAATAACTGTTTATATATTTAAATAATATAATTAATAATTAACTTATTTTTGTTTCCTAAAATATTTTCATTAAAAGAAAATATATAAAAGTGGGCAATTTTAAGTGGGCGGCCTGTCAAGCTTAATCACGTCAAGTTTATTTGGTATGAACTTTAGCTTTTTATGTCATTTGTTGAAATTACTGTATTCATTAGAATAAAAAAAAACTGTCCTATATGCTAATGGAAAGTACCCTTTCAGAATTGTTACAGATTTTTAAACTAACGCCATTTGTTTTGGCAATAAAATAAGTACCATAGAACCAATTAAGTAAGAATACCAAATTTCAAGGAAAAGGTTTTACCAAAGTTCTTAAAAATAAACAAACTACATCGTTTTTTACCCTTTCGAGGTAAACTTCCTCGGGAAGCATCTTAGGGTATAGCACCTTTCTGTTTTATTTTTATCTGACGAATCACCCACTGAAGTCTGGTACACTATTTTTTTGACACCCTGTATATCCTCGCTTTTTCGAATAATATAATCAGACCTACTTATTAAAGCTTTATTGTTCGTTTTCTTTCTTTTTACTGTGCTTCTACCTCAGCTTCCGTCGTTTTGTTGGATGTCTTATGTCATTCGTCCAACTCGTCCATCCTACATCTGACTGCCATCTCTACCACTTCCAGACTAGGATAATCCAGTTCTTTAACAAGGCACAACACGGCAGAAAGTATATTCGAATTCTGAAAGGAATCAAATAATACTGTAAAGAAATAAGGCCGATTAATGCGACGGCGACGTCACTTAATATGCAATAATATGTATATGCGGAATCCTAACGAATCTCAAAAATGTATGTATTCATCATGTAATTATCCCTTATGTATTCTTTATGGCAATGGGTTGGGTTGGTTTGGCGTTGTAATTGGTATTGTAATTGTTTTGGTATTTTAAACTACGCCGACGACACAAGTGTATTGGTGTCAGCTAAAACTTATCAGGAATTAACTGAGGCGAGCGAATTCTGTACAAAACTGGTTTGGAAAAACCAGATTAGTTTTGAACATGCAAAAGAACACGGAAAAAATACAAAAAAATATTAACCTGAAATATTAGAACTGAATAGGTTGGCTATACCTCTCGTATCGGGACTAAAATGTCTGGGCATTTTTGTAGATAACTTAAAATTGTATAAAGAACACTTAAACACAGTTTTTTAAAAAATAGTAATAATCTAAGATCCGGCGGCAGAATTACGTTTTATCATGCAGTTAATCAAAATCTAATTTTTACATATGTATATCTATGAATGGGGGAATACACTTTTAACCAGGTGCCAATCAAAAATTGTCCGCCAATATGTTTAAGAAATTATTTTACTAAGCAAACTTATTTAAATTATTGAATTTGTTTGTTAAATATTTTTATTTAACAAAAATAAGTTTATACAGGGTCCGGCAATAGTGCGTCGGGCATCTGTAGCTCCTAAAATAAAAAAAACTTGTGAATTTTGTTTAAGTGCAAACCTAAAGTATGTGAATGTATTACAGGAAAATATTTTAGCTTCTACAGGATGGTTAATTATTCTAAAATATAACTTTTTTATTTTTAGGTTATTTTTTAGGTTAGTTCTCCATATGAGTCGTACCATGCAGAACGGTTCTGGTCCAGTTAGTAGTGTTCGCTCCTTTTCTAGCTATAGATCGTTTGCTTTTTTATTCTCTTCTATCCCTTGGTGGGCTGGGACCCAAAGTAGGAGGACTTTATTTTCTTTAACTTATTTATTCAGCTTTTCTAGCCATTTTTTCACCAACTTCGAATTGATGGTTACTCAAGTTCATCGCTCTTAAGGCTGCTTGACTATCAAATATAATGGCTATTTCTTGTCTCCGATAGTTTCTATATAATAAGTTGTACGCATCTTTTGATAGCGTAGATATTAGCCTGAAGGATGCTGGGGTTATAGTTAGGAGAATTGAGTTTTTAGCTCATCCGATGCCTCCAAATAAGTTTTACCACAAAATATTTTTGGCTATGAATTTTCATATAAATTACTCCCCTTTCAATGATAAAAACTAATAATGATTTAGTTTCTACAGTGAGTGGATCGGGATTATTCTTTTTTAAATGAAACACCCTGAATACTGATTACATTACATAAACCTAATATATTAAATATGTTTTGATAGTTACAGAAATATTAATAAATCAACAAAAAATATAGTTTTTCGCCTTTAAAAAAAATATTAAAAATGGAAGAAAATATCCTGAAGTCCAAACTATACTAGGTATTTACTATAGTTGGTCTGTACCGGGTGTCCCACTAAGAATAGCTCTCGGCTGTATCTCGGAAAGTATTAGCCGTATAGCTTACGAAAGAAAATATTTATAACTAAACGGGCTAAGAGAAATTGCTGGAAATTATTGTCAAGTTTGTAAAACGGCCGCTAGGTGGCGCAGCTGCTATGGAAAATAAGAAAATAGATTTTTACAGAATTTTGCCTAGATAATGGGTACTATAAATAATAGCATCATAATCTTCAGTAAATTTTGGATTTTTTTTGTTAGAACCATTTTCCCCTATCTACTAAAATAAAGTGGTGGGGGAAGGTTAGATCTATCTTTATTTAAATGTTAATAACTCCAGATTGGATGATCAGAATCCAACAAACGAGGGTTCGTTTAAAAGAACGTTTCTTACTCTATATTATACTATAAAAATAATAATAATAAGGTTTTAAACGTCGACACTAGGAGGCGCTTTCTTACAATTTAACTAACAGCGCGTTTTTTCAAAAAAAATAAATACGATAGTATGTGTTATTTTAGCTGATAGTAAAGAGTAGTAAAAGCTTAAAAAGTCCGCGAAACCCGCATCTTGATATCTTCTTTCAAACCGAAGATATTAGCAAAATTATAATAAATACCAAAAAATAAGCCCTTAATTACCTTATTTTTACAATACAGTATCAGTAGCCCTCTTGATTAGGCCCATTCTAACAAAAAAATAAGATAGAAACAGTTAGTTTATTTTAAAATCGACGAAATACCAGAATACTATAATACCAGATGTATTAATATCTAATAATTAAGATATTAATAATAGTGAACAAGAAACGATGATTCGGTGAAGTCAAGGTAGGCTTTGGAAAAAAGTTGCTTTTCGCGTAATAGTATAAACGTCAAATTGTTATTAGATCAACATTTTGATAGTCTTAGCAGCGTTTTTTTATATTTCAAATGCTTTTTCAAAATGCCTTTATTATTTGAAGTAGTTGAAGTTGTTGGCATTTTGTAAAACCAATTAAAAGATAAAAAACGCTGCTAAGACTATCAAAATGTTGATCTAATGACGTCAAAAACAACTTTTTTCCAAAGTCTACCATGACTTCAGTGAATCATCGTTTCTTGTTCACTATTATTAATATCTTAATTATTAAACATTAATACATCTGATATTATGATATTCTGGTATATCGTCAATTTTAAAATAAACTAACTGTTTCTATCTTATTTTTAGGTTAGAATAAGCATAATCAAGAGGGCTACTGATACCGTGTTGTAAAAATAAGGTAATTAAGGGCTTATTTTTTGGTATTTATTATAATTTTGCTAATATCTTCGGTTTGAAAGAAGACATCAATATGCGGTTTTCGCTGACTTTTTAAGCTTTTACTACTCTTTACTATCAGCTAAAATTACATATACTATTGCATTTAATTTTTTTGAAAAAACGCGCAATGTTTGTTGAATTAAAGTCCCTAGATATATAAAGTACCGCAATTACCGCCATATTGGCGCCAAAACTAGCGGCAAATTTAAAAAGGAGGCCAACATTTCGCTGTTTCGGCTTTTTAAGCATGTTTTAAGCAGCTGGCAGCTGGTCGGTCCGGCGCCAATATGGCCGACCAACATTGACAGGCAAACCGTAAAATAAAATATTTATTAATTGTAATAGAATTACGTTTATTATCTACAGTTTACCTTCATTTTAACGTAATATCAGGTGGTATATTAATATTCAATTTCATAAATTTAATTTTTTAGGCCTATATATGTTAGAGGTTATAAACGAATGGTTTCCGTACAAGTGTTTTTCATTTGTATTAGCATTTATTTTATGTTACCTTTTAGCGCAAAGTACGCCAACAGAAGTAAGTTAATAGGTAAGAAGAAATAAAGTTGGAATAACATTTAGAATTTTAGTACTTAATTCAGTCGAAACAATTGGAAAAACTTTGTTTGTTGATGAGAACGGGATACCTATACCATAAGTAAACTTTTCTTATTATACCAGTTATGCTGCAGTTAGTTTTGACAAATCAGCATGATTTAACGAAAGTCTTTGGAACTATGAATAAGCTACAAACTTAAATTTGAATTGCTTTTATGCAAGAAAATTTTGAACCATGGTTGAAACAAATAAATGTAATAATTAAATTGATGATACATACCTGCTATTTTTGAAATATATTAATATATTGATAGAAAGATTGTTTCAATTAGTATTACTTCAGGTAGTTTCGGCATTTTAGGTATGTAATTGTGCACTTAATTTAAAAATAACTTAGAAAGAAGCTTGAAACGCATAGGAGCTTTTTATGTATGCTGTATAATTAAGGTTTGTATGTTATGGAGGGATTTTTATACAACAAATTTATTATTAGTTGAATAAAAGCAAGTTAATACCACATAATACAATTAAAATATATTTTACTCTGCAATTTAATGTTATATTTTTAAAACAACAAGTGTCATAATGTTTAAGTATCATTATAATAAAAAAGTTATACTGCTATAAATTTAACATTGAAATAACTGTAATTATTGTTATACATAAATTAAGTAGGAATAATTTTACCTCGACAATATGTAAAACTTCAAATGAATCTTAACAATTTTATGTCATGTATAAAAATCAAATTTAAATCACACACTTTTATTTATAACTGACAGTATAAGACCAAATTTTTAAATATAACTTTACATGCTTACATTATATTGTTTACTTTCTATTAGTAATTACAATATGAACCAAAAAATATTAATTACTATCAATAAATACATAAAAACTAATCTATTTAAGTCCATGAAAATAACTATATAGTTAGCATATGCATAAACAACATTCTTGTTATTAGGATCAAATTTATTTGAGCTTTTTTTCATTGTTTTGATTAATATCCCTGTTAGTCCTGACTGGTAAAACCACCTGAAGCGATGTCATCCAAATCTATATATGTATCATAACATAACTTATTCTTTTAAATAATTATCCTTCGTTTGGTCTGATGATAATATATTGTAGATTTATCTAAACTTCTTGCTGCAAAATGTTGAAAACTAAACTACACTAAACGTTTTAGGGAATGATTACGTAGAGATTTCACTTACACTTAGCATCCTTTTTAAAAGATATGTATGGTAGTTTGCAAGTAAGGTCTTTGTCTTGTTCTAGATTAGATTTCTAGAGGTTGATTTCGGCCTGACTCACTGCGACCTTCTCAGATCTATTGTGATCTTGTCTTGTTCTATAATGAAGTTTTATGTACCAGTAGGTTATACTACAAATAAGATTGTTAAAAATATTCACTGGAGCATAAATAAATTCAATCCACTACCTAACGTGTATTGAATATCGACGATGTTAGAAACCACATCAAATGGCGGCCTTTTCGTGTAATACAATTTCTTCACTAAAGATATCGACTCCTATACATTATTAACTAATAAATTTGTAGCATTTTAGTGGCTTTATAATTATTTTAAAATATGTGGATAAATATTTTTATCCTGAAATTGACAGCTTCTCAACATTTGACATGACAAATTCAGCCAAATGTGACATTTAAACAGTCCTACCACTACAGTTTTTCCAGAAATACCCCAAAAATCCGCCATTTTGGCGCCAATAACATTGAACAAACCAATTGCGGTACTTTATATATCTAGGGACTTTATGTTGAATTGTAAGACAACGCCCCCTAGCGTCTACGTTCAAAAGCTTATTATTATTGTTTATATGGTACAATATAGAGTAAGAAACGATCTTTTAAATGAGCCCTCGCTTGTTGAATTCCGATCATCCAGTCCAGAGTTATTAATATTCAAATAAAAACAGATCTAACCTTCCCTAAAATGGTTCTAACAAAAAATATTTAAAATTTACAGAAGATTATGAAGCTGTTACTTATAGTACACCTTATCTAGGCAAAATTGTGTAAAAACTTCATTTTCTTATTTTTTGTTGCAGTTGCGCCCCCTAGCGGTCGTTCTACAAACTTGAAAATAATTTCCAGCAATTTCCCATAGCCTCTTTAGTTATAAATATTTTTTTCCACAGCCGCTACGGCTAATACTTTCCGAGATACAGCCGACAGCTATTCTTGGTGGGACACCCTGTACTTTGCTATAAATATCGCTATCTTAAACCATATACGGTGTTCCAAATCCTATGCCAAACTTTCTAAAATATAAAATAGTTTTTCTTCGTTTTTTAATGGAACCGCTAAAAATTGTGTAATGCTTTAAATAAAAAATGTTTATTTTGTAATTCTCCATCTAACAAAGAAATAATATATAGGGTGTCAAGATTAACACCGGTGACGTAGATCAACACCGGTGTTTGGGGGCCACGTTATAGATCAACACGGGTGTCAACAACGACTGAAAAACCAGTTGTCATTCCTAAAACAGTCATTCAAATCTCAACTCCGAAAAAGTCTATTTTGGAATCTTCTGAGTGATGTTCAAGGTTTGAGATAAACAAAATACTAATATCCCTGGGCAATTCAGCACTTACTGCTTCTTGAACTTTACCATTTTTGACATGTAGTACTCGACATTCATGTAATCCAAACTCCATCTTAGGATCTTTACCATTCTGGTGTATTTTTGCACTATTTCTAACTGTTTTTGGAGTTCATCAGAGTTTGAAGCATATAGTTTGATATCCGTAATTGGCAGATGTCAGCATACTCTACTCAGATGTTGTTTCTACTCAGTGAGTTTAAAGCCATATAAAACCAAAGAGGGTCTAAACTTTCTCCTTGGAACATTCCACTTCTTATGGGGATATTGCTGATAGTAAACGACAGATTATTTCCTGTAACCTTCAAGCCGCTTTTCCAGTACTTCATAGATTGAATTAAAATTTTTGTTAGGGCTCACCTTATTTATCTGCAATATTTTTGTTAGCCATGAGTGAGGCACTGTATCATACGCCTTCTTCTAATCAATTCGTGGTACTGATATGTTCCTCTTCAATAATAGATGTTAAAATTTTATAGATTGTAGGTAGACAAGTTATAGGTCCTTTGTTTTTTTGGATCTTCCAAATCAATAGACTTAGGTATCATATACGTAATGCCCGATGTACTTCTATTTTTGGGAGCTCCTCAGGGTTGTCCAATACTTTTTGAGGTAATGTAGCTTAGTTCATGTGGTAAGTTTTAAAATTTTGCTACTAATATCTCCGAATATCATCCGCCGCAGGTGCATTCCAGTTTTTAAAAGCGTTTTTTCAAGGTCTGCATTACCGATCTGAATGTTCACCATGTCTTCTGTGGTTGTAGGATCTTATTCTATTTTTTTGGGTCCACTCTGCGTTCCTGTTATGTTCCTTGGATCTGCTCCAGATCCAAGGATTGTTTGTAGTAGGTTTTCATGCGATCTTAAACGAATGGATTTCCTGGTGAATCGATGTTCTCTTCTAATTGTCGGTAGAATTTCTCTGCATCCGAGACAAACTGTTGGTTTTGCCGATACCTTTTCGTTCTAGTATTGTATCTCCGGATCTCTAGCATCTAACGCAGCTATTTTTTTGTTTAGCGTGCGGCCCCACACAGGCGTACAGCGGAGCGGAGAGTAGAGCGTAGAGGACCGGGGAAGCGTTCAAATGCATTAAAGTTAACTGATGCGGCCCTACATACAGCGCAGCGTAGGATATTGCGGATTGACGCGTACTTGCTTGCTGGTAGCGTATTTTCACGCATACTGCTTATTTCGTATTGAAACTGTTAAAATCCGCCTGTAAGAGCGCTTGCATAAACAGCGGAAAAATCGGTCGGAGTCGGCGTTGGCTTTGCACCTGCTCCAACAGTGTATTTAATTCAATTGTATTTGCTGGTCCTCGACTATTTTACCGGATCGCAGTATATGTGAATGTGAGTAATTTATTTATATTGTAATCGATTTAAGCTCCAGCACCGGCACCGATTTTGCCGGCGTGTGTGAAAGCGCTCTTAACCCGCTACATGTGGGTTCACTGTATGCATTCCGCTCCGCTATACATTACGCTACCAGCTTTATGTGTGGCCACCCACTTAGGGTCTCTTGAATTCGATGAATTGATTCCTTGTAGTAAAAAACCTACAGTACCTAAAAATTCCTACGAATTTTTCTCATGATACGAATTTCATCATGGTACGAATTCATCATGGTACGAATTTGTAGCACAACAACAAACATTTTTTTGGAAATAAATCGAAATGCGACAAAGTTGGGCGACGAAATGCGACCTTGACCTGTTTCGAAGAGTTCTCCGTACAGTGTAGAGGCTGTTTTATATTATTAGCAATATTACTATTGAACTGCAATGGTATCTCGGTAACCGTAAACCGTAATAGATACGAAGATGGTTAAATTGGGGCAAAGTTGCGCTTTGGAATGTCCACCAAGATGCTAACAAAAAAAGTATAAAGTGTCGCATATCATTGTACTCGGGAGACCAAGTTCTTTCAAAACCCGAAATAAAAAATGCAGGTCCGTATTTAAAAAAATTAAGTTGGCCTCTTATCTCACAAATTATCAGCTAATTTGAAAATCTAAAAATACTATCAGATAACCCTAATAAAGTGGTTATGGGAATGTACAATTAGTTTTTTGATTTTCCAAAAAGTAACTACAGGAAAAAATATAATCGATTCTCAAAAAAAATCCGTTTTTTTTTCAAAAAACTCAGCAATCCTTGAAATTTTTGAAACTTTTTTATGGCATCTTGGTGAACATCCCACGCGCAACTTTGCCCTAATTTAACCATCTTCGTATCTATTACGGTTTCCGAGATACCAATGCTCGTACCCCGAATTTGTAGCACCCTATAAATAGAGCCGATTGGGAACATTATTGATAATCCTATGTCAATAAAAGACAGTGGCGGACTAAGTCTATCGGAGGCCCGGGGCGGCAAAGCTAAATGTGGCCCCCGGTCTGCACATTTTGTAAAGATTGAATGACGTATGAATAATGGTTGACAAATTTCAAGTATTTATATACTGTACTAATTGTAATAAAAATCATATATATATATATATATATATATATATATATATATATATATATATATATATATATATATATATATATATATATATATATATATATATATATATATATATATATATATATATATATATATATACAGGGTGTCACAGAAATAAGTGCAAGTATTTTAAGGGGTGGTAGATAAAAGAAACATATTTTTTCATCGTTTTTCAAATAAGTCCAAAATAACGGAGTTATTTTACTTCGAAAATTTGCTAAAATTTTGAGAACCACTAAATCTTTTCTGGATTTTCTTTCTTGTAAATTTAATCTAATACCTATGTTGTCATATTAACAAGAAATCATGTTTTTTAACTAAAAACTAAAAAAACGAGTTTTCAATTTTTTTTTCGCGAAAAAAACCTCATATGCGTTTTTCTGGTGTTGAACTATACTACTAGTGAAAATACTAGCAGTTATTTCTGGAACACCCAGAGGAAACGACAGACACAGATTATAAGAGGAAAAACTTTTTAATTATTGACTTTTTGAAAAAAAAATGCGTTCTTCATAAGAATTTTTGCTTGTTGTAAAATATAATTTTCTAAATATCCATACCGTTTTAGAAAAAATTAAAAAAAAACATAAAAATGTAGTTTTTTAACGTAATTTTTCCCCAAAAAAAATCCTAAAAAAACTAAAAGTCCTAAAAATATAAAGGCTATGGTAATATAATGTCGATTTCATTTTTTGATAAATCGTTATATTTAATTTTGATTAACGACATATTTTTTGATGTTAAAGTATCACATTTTCCGATAACTATTATCACCCTTTCCGTAGCAATGAACTATATAAATGTTGTGCTTTAACATTTTAAAACAGCCAAAAATATAACTTTAATTAAAATTCTGTCAATAATAATCTATCAAAAAATGAGAACGACATTATATTACCATAGAAAGGCGTTTCATTTTTACTAGTTCAGAATGTGAACTACATTTTCATTTTTTTTTTATTTTTCTTTAAAACTCAAAGTCTAAAACGGTATGGAAATTTGGAAAAGTATAAACAGGAATTACCATTTTAGAACAAGCAAAAATTTTTATGAAGACAATCCGCGGACATACTGTAGATATAAATATGTTATTCATCGGCAGTGCCGTTTTTATGTAGGGACCCGACGGGCCCCGACCAGAAGATTAAGCCTCAAAAACGATAACATCAATTTTTGTAAAGCTTATAATATGTAATACATTTAAATTTAAAAATGAATGCAATTTGACGTAATAAAACAATCCCCGAGCGAATGTTTGCATATATTTAATGGCAATTTATGATGACATAGATAGTTCCACATATAAGACGCGTTACTTTCGCGACCGTTCCAGGTAAATACCGCGATTTTGTAAGGGGCTCCTTACAAAATCGCGGTATAATCCTATATAGGTCCAAGAATAAATAATAAATATTCGAATATAAAAAATAATAATTATTCCATATTCTAAGCAAAGAAAATTACCCCTTGATTTAATTTCGTAAATAGAAACATGCCATTGACAATTACTGGGGCCTAATAATTGATAATTAAGTAAATATCTGCTTCCCTTTATACTGTGTTTAGTTTGCGTATACTTATGGTTTGCATACTCTAACTACAAATTGCTTTATAACTACTGAACACATATTGGCCTGTTTGCCAGTTGAATAACAAATTACTTATTAAGATTTGGGGGCCCCCTAGAAGAAGGGGACCGGGGGGACCGCCCCTTCCGCCCCCCCTTAGTCCGCCACTGATAAAAGATACTTTTATACAGGGTTGTTCACCACATACGACACGGAGTATTGTAGCTAAACGATTAGATTTTCACAAATTGCAAGTTTTGGGTTCGTTGAAGGACTATTAGAGCTACAACTTAAACATATTTTTACAAGATACATAGTGTCCCGAATAAGTAAAAATTATTATAGTTGTATTTTTTTAAATGGAACATTTTTACAAGATACATAGTGTCCCGAATAAGTAAAAATTATTATAGTTGTATTTTTTTAAATGGAACACCCTGTATATTATTCTATTTTTAGATTCTACGATTGAAATAAAGGTAAATTTCATTATGGTTTATCACATTTAAACCTTACCGTTTTCAAAATATTTTCAATTTTATGAAATTGCAATAAAAATTTTAAGGCTTCATTCCTCCAAAGGTATCGGAGTTTTTAATACTAAATATTTACTGAAGTTTATTTATTGATCAGATATTGTTTTGCAATAATAACAATACTATTACTTAATATAAATACTATTATTTAATATAAATTTTTATTACTCTAAAAATTTATATTAAATAATTAATAGCTTTAAACGGCAATAAGTTGTTTAATTTAAATGGAACACCCTGTATATTTTACGAGAATCAGATGCACAATTTAATTTTCGTTTATGTTTATGTATTATGCAAAATTTGATATTGGCATATAATTGTCATGTCGTGTGAGCGATTTATTTGTGCAATTTTTTTGTCACTCGTCCCGCCACGTGAGCGCCAAGCTTGTTGCAAAAGAAATTGTTTACAAAGATTGCCAAGTATGCAAATATTGGTATACTTGCCAAGTATACACGAGTTGTCAGAGTCCCCCTATAGATAGGAATGCAGTATTATCTGATTAGCAGCATGGTTTCAGTTAGAAGGGAATGTCAACAATTCAGGCACTCTCTTTTGCCATTGACTCATTTAACAATAAGAATCAGACACTTGTAATGTGCCTGGACCTTTCCAGGGTTTTCCACAGTCTGGATCACAATATTTTGATGAATAGGTTGGATGGGTATGGTATTCTAGAAAGGGCTTTAAAACTAATAATGTCATACTTGTGTGGGCGAACACAGCAGATTATTGATGAACAGAAGGGAAACGGAACGGATAGTGTGCATTGTCCTATTCTTTGACATGATATCGTAGGTGAAACGTGATAAACTGCTAACTCCATTATTCCTAATTTTACAGGAGAGCAAAAAAACGGTACAAAAAAATATGTACACATGTAGGAAGTATTTTCGTGCGTTAATATGATAAAGAGATAAGAATTGTATTTGCTGGGGAACAATATAACTCAATATTTCGTGTTACATCATTTTTTTCACACACAATAGGGAGATAGCAGATATTCGTCTTGCGGAAATAAGAAATAAAAATATACTTCTGGAGATAGCAACCTTTTTGAGCAAACTGTTTGAAGTTTTGAAAATGGAATTGAATATTACCCAAACAGATTTAGAAGTAATCAATTAAATTCAAAAAATATGATATTTATAACCATATATTTATAATATCGTCGATCTAGAAGCAAAACATATACAAGTCCAAAAACGAATAAATTTTTAATGCATTTTTAAAGAACTGAAGTAGCAGCATTTTGGACTTAATGCATATAAAAATAATTTAAAAATCAAACTTATAATTCTTAGAAGATATGGTAGAATACTTCCATGCTTATCCTAATTTTTAGACAACGGTAGTAGACCGGGCTTGGAAAACAGAACATTAAATTTTTATTACTTTTCTCCTTATTTTTTTAATTTTTATAAAAATTATGTATCATTTACGTGGAAAAACGTTGAAAAAAAATAAAACTGATTGGGTATTATGGAAATTCTTGTACAAGTAAGTAATGGTTATTTAAACTATTTATAGCACGTCGATGAATTGCTCGTATATAGAGAATTTTGTTTTGCCCCTTACCCTTTACGGATACCCCGTATATACAGAACGGGTCGACGCAGGGTCGGACTGGTCATATTATATATTTATATAACTATTGGGGGCCCCAGCCGCCATTTATTCTTAACAATATTTGCTTTTGCATTGCATTATGGCATTTGCATTGCATTGGTTTACCTTGTATTAGGGTAGTTCCCTGATTTCTATACAGGGTGAGTCTTAAATAAGTGCAAATATTTTCAGGGCTAATTTTCTCTTTAGGGAATATTTTCTCTTTACCGTTTTTTTTCAAATAAATCCAAAACAACCGAGTTATTTCACTTTTAAAATTTCCAATTTTTTGCTATAATTTTGAAAATAATTGGATTTTCTTTTTTGTAAATTTAGTCTACTACCTGTGTTGCTATATTACAAACAAAGTATGTTTTTAAACTAAAAATTAAAAAAAAAATCCAATTTTTTTTAAATTCCAAATTGTCAAAAAAAATCGCGCTAAAACATCATAATAGTGTTTCTTGGGTCGAAATATACTACCCCTAAAAAATTTGCACTTATTTAAGACTCACCCTGTATATAATAAGGAAAAATTGACCAAAACGTAGGGCGAAAAAATACGTAAAAAATACACACCTCCTTACATTGCCACCTGGGTTCCTTTGGCATAGTGCGACCCTGGATCGACATATTGTACTAAAGAAACATACAAGTAAGAATCCGTGTGTTTGCTTTAGCGTGATCGTAACGGAAATTATGGAGATAGCAGCATTTCGGTGGCTATTTCACATCACTGGGAGTTAGCAGATTTTATTGAGTTTAAATAGCAAATTTTCTTTAATGGGGAAAAATGTATTTGCTTTCCCTATTTATAGAGTATTTTTTTCTCTTTCTAATGGTATAAAAAAACTTATTAACGTAAAAAATGGAGTTAGCAGGTTATCACGTTTCATTGACGATATAATATTTTACGTAAACGGAAGGGAGCTGATACGGAAGGTATAGTGAGAATCAACCTTTATTCTCCAACACGAGCAGGAGGAAATATGTTCATATGTTCCGTCAGTAGTGTTTCATTTCTTGGTTTAACGATCGATAGACGTTTAGATTGGCTTCACTATATTGAAGTACTGGCATCTAAAACTTTACAGTTCTGCTATGCGCTGAGAGTAATATCGGGGTCCGTTGGGATCGATGCTGCTATGTCAGCTACTATGCTTTTGTGTATTCCAGATTTAAGTATGGTATTATTTTTTGGGGCAACTCCACGGGGGTGGAAAGGATATTGCGAGTACAGAAAAAATACATACGTAGTATCTTCGGATTAGGTCAGCAGGAAAGTTGCAGGGAGATTTTTGCTGAGTATAACGTGCTTACAGTTGTTTCTATGTATATTTTGGATGCTGTGATGTTTGTCCTGGAAAACTGGAATTTATTTGGACACCGTAGCCTCGAACATGAGTATGAGACTAGACATAGATAGATTGCAACTTGTTTTGGATAAATATAACTTCAGCTATCTTCAAAAAAATATAGATTTTTCTCTAATAAAAATATATTATTATTATTAATATTACTATTTATTGTTATACTGTTTAAATTTTGATGAAATATGCAGTTATTTTTTTAATTCTTTTTCTGACATTGTTTTGACATGTCAATAAATCGGAAACGGTTGGTTTGAGGTACATTGTCTGTATCTCGATTTTTCCTTAGTATAGAAGGAAGAATTGACATATGCAATAATATACAGGGGTATTCATTCAAAAAAAAACTTTGAAGTGCCACGACTTTATGACCGACCCTGTATACTTAAATTTATTACTCGCTAATAGACATTTAAAATCCCTATAACTTTTATATTTAACTTTTTGCGGCACCTCGTATATTTTAACTAATAACAGCGCTTTCAGATGGAGCGGAGCGTCCGCGATGTTTTTGTGCTGCTTGTTTTTTCAAGATAGCCGTCAAACGAAATCAACGGGATGGAGTATACGCGACCCATGTGAAATTGTTCATGTAAACTCATCGAACTCGCGGACGCTCCGGTCACTCTGAAAGCGCTGTAATCGACCGTTCCCATATATATCAGCAAGCCTGTATAAGTACTAATATATATAAGTGCTAGTTATGATAACTTACCCTGGTAACTGGTCTCCTCGTAAACGGTGGCCTGTGAGAGGCTGCAGGACAAGTGTATCGTTTTTCAGGTCCTTGGACAGATGACACTTCGCTACCGTCATTCCTGTATTGTTGGCTCTGTATGTATCTATCGTCATTTGTGTATTCCTAAAGTATAATAAATATACTTAAGTTGAATATTCAACGTATATTTCAACAAATGCAAAGACTCAAAATGCAAAAATAAGTTCATGTTTACCCGTTTATTATGCAATATACAGGGCGAGTTTTATACATATAAGTGCAAATATTTTCAGGGCTAATAGATCTTGATAAAAGAAATATATTTTCTCTTTTAAGTCCAAAATAGCCTATTAAGTTTAAAAATTAAAAAAAAAATATTTTTTGCTTAGGTTTTGAGAACCACTATTTTTTTTTGCTCTTTTTAAATTGCCATATAGTAGTGGTAGGCAAAACCGTTATTTTTAAATAACAGTTAAAACTATTACTGTTATTTATATATAACATCTTAAAATATCAGGTTTTTGTTATTTTTTGACTTTAATCTTAAACATCTAAAAGAGGATACACATTGTCCAAATTGTAGTAAAATCATAAAAATCTTGATATTTATTTCTTAATAAAAAATAATGTACTTAAAATATAAAATTTATAAACAAATCAAACTCTGTTTTGATTTTTAGAATGTTTATTATATTATTAATAATTAACAAAAAAATATTAAAAAAAATCAATATTAATAATATTAAAAAAAATAACTAGCTTAGATAGTCTTTATTTATTTAAGTAGTAGAAGAGCACTTAATATTTCTGATCACCAAAATTCTAATTCATTTAATCACTAAATTTCTAATAACCGTTCACAATTTCTTGCTATCGTTATAGCTGATAGGCAAGTAAAATTGTTATTGAAGAGTTTTTAAGACGTAGCAAAAACAATGAAAGTACATATTTAAAAATAATAATAAAAATAACTAAGTAACTGAAACTTAACTTAAGTACCGAAACTTACAAAACAAAAACTTATGTAAATAAATATATGAAAATAAGTTTGCAAAAAGCAAAATAGTAAAATAAATTTGCTCAAAACGATTCTAATAACAGAAGCTTAATCAAGAAAATTTTCTTTAATACTGTTATAATTACTAAAAATTTTTATTTACCATGCATAATTGATGCCAAAAAATACCCAGAAATCCGACAAAATAAAATCATTTTCAAACTCCTGAAATAAATTGAGACTATCGATATGTTTTAGAAAACTAAAAATACCCTTTAGTTATGTTACGTTTTTCGTCGGTTCCGTGTGGATAGAAAGTCACAATTTATTTAAACACTATTTATTTAACACTAATTAACAAAAACAATAACGATAAAAGACTTATAGAACTATTTACAAACGATTTATAACTAAGAATTTATTTTGAATTTTAGCGCGTCAACTGCACTGGTATAATACTGCCCTCTGTAGGCCACAGCCGCCGGCTTTTATACCGACAGGTAAAGAACACTAGAATAGTCCATAGATCGTTAGGTGCATAGAGAAGGTTTTCGAATGTTCTCGTATGTACTAGTCCATTCCAGTGGGACTCGATTCTTCTCGAACGAATGAATCATTACCGTGTCTATTCTTTAATGCGATGTTAAGGTCATCTGAGGGCGGGACATATAGTTAGGTTAGGTCGAGTTCACACGGGTCCGCAACACTGCCCCCTTCTTAGGCACATGCTCGTCCCGAGATGTATACGGTGAATGAAGGTATTTGCAAAGCTGGCCCCTGGTACATTGCGAAGTCTGGTAGAAATAGCAGTCTACAGTTTTCTCTCCCGATCTCAGCTTTGGGTTGTAGCAGCAAACGAGGATCTCGATTCCCGTAAATCTGAACAAGACTTCAATCATGTTCCGGATTGTACGCCAACTCAAACCATCGAGTCCACACGCCAGCTTCGGAATGGCTAATCGTGCAATGTTGTTGTTTAGCAGGGCTTCTCTCAGTTCAATCAGGGTCTTCCATAGATTGAGATAAGTCGGCTTACTCGGGGACCATTCCTTGGTGACCAGGTAGAAGATGTGCCTTGCTTGACCATGTGCATTGTCGGTTAGCCTCAAGACGCTTCCAACCTCTGGATCCTGTCGGCGTAGTTCTCCGACACGCCCAAACTTCTCATTGAACGTCGCAGCGATTCCTCTGGACATCCGCAAATCTCGAGCCACACAATGAGCGAGCGAATAATCAGGAGGCACGGAAAAGAGGTCTCGTTGATCTTCTTTGGTTACACCATAGCGAGCCTTCTCACTGCTGTTGTATCGGGCCATGAAATCGTCAAAGGACATCTCCGAATCAGGGGGATCAAAGCTGCAGGTTCTCACGGTCCCAGCACGATCTTCTATTTCGCCTTGGTAGGGGCTCAAACGGTTGAAATGGACTACCCTCGGTTTTCCTTTTGGCAATTTTCTGATACGGTATACGACGTCATTAATTCTATCCATGACTTCGTATGGCCCTTCCCACGAGGATTGTAGCTTCGGAGATAACCCACGACGTCTCTGCGGGTTATATAGCCACACCAACTTCCCTGGTTGGTATCCTCCATGCTCAGCTTGAATGTCGTAGTGTTCCTTCATTCGGTCACTAGCACTTTGAATATTTAGGCGGACTCTCTGATGAATGTCGTCCATCCTTTGACGTAGTGTGTGGACATAATCTTCTCCGGCGACTTCTTCTCCCGGTCGGCAACCAAATTTCAGATCACAGGGTAGGCGCACTTCCCGTCCCATAACGATGCTGGCTGGAGTTTGCCCTGTAGATTCTTGGACGGATGAACGGTAGGCCAACAGGAACAGGTGAAGAAATTTGTCCCAGTCTCTTTGGTGGTCAGAGACTACTTTGGCCAGATAACGGTTGATAGTTCTGTTCATGCGTTCAACCATCCCATCGGATTGTGGATGTAGAGCAGTCGTCCTGGTCTTGCGGATGTTCAGGACTTCACAGACGCCTTGGAACAGATTGGACTCAAAGTTTCTTCCCTGATCTGAATGAAGCTCCATGGGAACACCAAACCTGCAGATCCATTCTTTAACAAGGGCATCAGCAATCGTGGACGCTTCTTGATTTGGCAACGCGTAGGCCTCGACCCATTTGCTGAAGTAATCCATTACTACCACAATGTATTTGTTGCCATCGTTCGTCTCCGGGAAAGGACCAGCCACGTCGATCGCTATTCGTTCGAAGGGACTACCAACATTGTACTGGCGCATAGGGGCTTTACCACGCTTTTGTGGCCCATTAATGGCTGCGCAAATGTCACATTTCTTACACCAGGCCCTCACATCTTCTTTGCAGTTCACCCAGTAGAACCGTTCACGCAGCTTGCCAAGTGTCTTGGTAACACCAAGATGTCCACCGCTGGTTCCATTGTGAACTTCCTCCAAGACTTCTGGGACCCTCTTCTTTGGAATGACGATCTGCCTTCTTTCTTCTTGTCCCTCCGGTCTCTCGATCGATCACACGGCGAAGTAGTCCGTTATCTATTACCAAGGAATTCCACTGAGCCCAGTACGACTTTACGTTCGGCGAATATCTGCAAACTTCTTCCCACGTACCTTTGGCCTGGTCTTTGGCCTGCGTTTTTCCAGTTAATTACTAAACCTAATTCTGGGTCACTGGTTTGGTCATTTGCAAAATCTTCGGGTTGCCAACTATCATTAACCACAGTTGTTCTTAGGAGTTTCACTTCTTTCTCTTCTGCTCGGGAACAATGCTTACAGTCCTTAGCGCAAGGTCTTCTGGAAAGTGCGTCGGCATTTCGATGGATTGCCCCAGCTCGATGTTCTGTGTCGAAGTCAAATTCTTGTAATCGTTCAATCCATCTAGCTACCTGCCCTTCAGGATTCTTAAACTGCAACAGCCATTTCAAAGCAGCATGGTCTGTTCTTAACAAGAACTTTCTTCCATAGAGATACTTGTAGAAGTGTTCCACTGCTTTAACTACTGCTAGTAATTCTCGTCTGGTTACACAGTAGTTCCTTTCCGGTTTTGACAAGGTCTTACTAAAATAACCAATGACTTTTTCTTGACCATCCTGGATCTGAGACAGAACAGCGCCTACCCAACATTGCTAGCGTCGGTATCCAATATAAAGTTTCCGTTGCCAAGAGGATAGCTAAGTATGGGCGCACTAGTCAGGGCCTTCAATCTTCGGAATGCCTCGTCAGAATCTGAGTCCCAAGAGAAACGCCTTTCGTCTTCGGTAAGTCTGGTCAATGGTTTTGCGATGGTGGCGTAACCTTGTACATAGCGGCGATAGTATGTGCATAGTCCCAAAAAGCTTCGTAGTTCATGTTTGTCTTTGGGTATCGGCCACTCTTCCACTGTCTTGGTCTTCTGTGGATCTACCGCAACTCCCTGGGAGGAGACTACATGGCCCAAGTAGTGTGTACCTTTTCTTGACACAGATGACATTTCTTGGGGCTAAGTTTCAAACCAGAGCTCCCTAGTCGCTTGAAAACTTCTTCCAAATTCTTCAGATGATCGTCAAAGGATTTCCCAACCACTATGATGTCATCCAGGTACACGAAACAGGTAGTCCAGGATAGTCCCTTTAACACAGACTCCATTAGTCTCTTAAAGGTAGCTGGCGCGTTGCACAATCCAAAAGGCATGACAGTAAATTGCCACAGTCCGGAGCCCACCGAGAACGCTGTTTCCTCTCTGTCTTGGCGCCATGTCGACTTGCCAATATCTTCAGATCCAAAGTAGAGAATATCGTCGACCCCGCCAGCGTGTCTAGAGTATCGTCTATCCTCGGCAGGGGATAGCTATCCTTCTTTGTAACATTATTGAGCTGCCGATAATCAACACAGAACGTGGTGGTACCGTCTTTCTTCTTTACTAGTACTACCGGCGATGTCCACGGGCTGTTAGATGGTTCGATGACACCCTCTTCTTTCATTTCTCGAAGGATTTTGTCAGCTTCTTCACGTTTGCGAGCGGAAGTCTTCTCGGATTTTGTTTGATTGGTCGTGCTTCTCCGGTATCAATTTTATGTTGTACTAAATTGGTACGACCTCTGTGTCCTGCTTCTCCTTTATCAAACACATCTTGATACTTGATTATCAGGTTTCCCAATTTTCTACTATTTTCGGGA